TTAACACTTTTCCATTTGTTAATACAGATACTGCATGTTGATATCGCATGTAATCTGTTCTACCACTGACTGTCCAAATGCCTGTTGATAGATTATATAACTCAGTATGCACATTACCTATACCGGCGACTAATACTCTTCCATCTGTTAGTATAGATGCTGTGTGCATAGCTCGTTCATAATGCATCTTTCCAGTCTTAGTCCAGCCTACATAAAAACATTTGAATGTATTCATTCTGAAAAAGGAATTCTTATGAACAAATTTTCCAGATGATCTAATTGTGTACGAATATGTTTAGATTTTATAAAATAAAAAAATCTGATATGATAGTAGATATGACATATTTAATAACGACTGGAACGAGTGAATAACACATCAATACAATTTATATTTCTTCTATCTGTTGCCACATTATTTATCAAAAATGAATGCATTTTGAAGTATATGCAATTTCTGTTAGTGATAAGTACTCTAAGGAAACTCTTCCGATGACAATAATGTAGTGAGAAATGAGCATATCCATTTTAATTATATAAAGATTTTTTACAGTAAATGAGAATATAAGATTCTAAACAATCTGATTACCTGGATTATATATTTCTATAAAATTAGAAGAATAAAAGACGATTTACATTTTTTTTAAAGACAACTTTAGTCACGTAACTCATGAGAATCATTGAAAACCAGTGAAAATCCTCTGAAGCTTACGAGTAAGCCAATACAACATTGGCTGATTTTTTAGTTTAAATGATTTTGATTAAGCTACACTCACACTCTCAAGCATTATTAAATATAAAGTAACCTTTTATGAATTTTAAAAACATTAATCTAACACTTACCTGATAGATGAGTATTGGACATAGCTGTGTCGGTGTTCATTGTCGTGATTTGTTGTTTTCTTGGTGCAGCAATGGCGAGTGTTAACACCAGAGAGAAAATAACTATAAGACAGTAAAAATAAAACAGATACTAATGATCGAAAGTCATTGACGATGAGAATTTAATAATATAACTAACGATATTCGAATTGGATGATTCCATTCTATGAATAATTTACTGAAATTTCTCAATGAAGAGTTTTTCATTTATATCAAAAAGTTTTAGTCACAGTCTAGAGAAGATCATTATTTTAAAAAATGGGTTTTAATTTTATGAATCATCCATCGTCAATAAGATCTGTGAGTCTATGGTATTTTTTGCAATACGAAACCGAACAAATCTACATTCAATACGATTTTGTGTGCGTAAGAAAATAACAGTAAAGAGATTCTGTTAAAATTCGAAGCTATATACAGATGAAATCCGTGTCTGAAAGGATTCGCAGGTTGCTAAACAGTAGTCTACAAGAATACATTTAGGCTAGTGGAAACACATTCTATTCCATGATATTGAACATTGTGAAATAGGATGACTGCTCAAACTAATGTATCTTCAACTTTACATCTCCAGCACGGTTCATTATACTCACTGTGTAGATGTTTGTTAAGCATCTTGTATTTCACAAGCAAGTTGAATTTAACGAAGAATGACTTATTATTTGAAATTATTTCATATATATCACTCAGGAGGCACGTACAAGATAAATATTATTATCTTTAATGAAAAAATGTATATGTAAGCAAACATATCAGATTTGTCCGCTGGATACATATTAACGTCATATTGCTCTGCTTTATATTCTGACTTCTTCATCTTATTCATCGTTTAACCTATTTATTAATGTTATTTTAAGTAGATAGTTTGCACAGGTAGAAAGACATGATATCATATTGTTTCACTTTTCTATTTACTTTTTCAGTTAAAATATTTGTTTTTCTTCTTCATTAAATATATTATTTTATCTTTCAAAATGAATCTAACATTTATTTCATATCAGAACTGCACACGTACAGCTACATTGTTATCTACCTTTAATAAATTTTACATATAAATATAAATATACAAAGAATAATTAGAATTCTATCAATATAATCTTCGATTTTAGAACTTTTATAATTTCAATTATTTATCTCTACTTTCTTGTCGAATTTGAGTATATCTCAGCACATTGTTAAATGTCAATAACAAGAAATATTCAAGTGATAAAAATCCAGAAAATGTTTACATAAGAACTGGTAAAAATTATATCCACGAAGTTTCAGAATCTTAGCTCAAACTCATGTTCAATAATCTGTATTTTAAAATTTTTATACTATATTATTTATCATCCGTCATTAACATCTTCCGTTTTTATCGATTTTCTCGTGTACAGATGACGATCTGAGCGTAAAACGAAACTTTTCGATATATTTATTTAAAAGCAAAATAAAATAAATATAGAATATCGTAGCGAATTTAACAGATAGCGTTAAATTTTAAACTCGATCTTTATAATTATTTATTTCTAAGTGTTATATTCAAAAATGATGATTTATCAAATTACTCTACATTTTTGAAAAATACTATATATCGACGCTAGTCTTAGAATATCAGATTAATCTGAAGTTTTTCTTTAAAAAAGCAAACTCGGGTTTATTTTCTTGTAACATTTCTATTGTTTATAGAATTATTTGCTAAAAAAACGTGAAATTTTCAAAATGTTAGAGACATGATACGTTTGTGCGAGGGTGAGGGTGTGAGTATAGGTATGACTGTGAGTTCTATACTCTTCTCACATCCATCCATATCCACGCACACCCACATCCTCAAGAGTATGGGTGTGGGTGTGTCTGATAACCGAGAGAAACACCCACACCCACCCTCAACATAATTATAACATAATCTGAATTTTCTGGTATTATCCTGGTAGAAAAATTTATTTTAAAACTTAATAATTTAATAAAATCATTCGTTTAGTTTCTAATTAATGTGTTGATCTTTTTGAGTTGTTCTTTTAAAATTATCATTAAGCATGTAAAACTGCTTATCTAATTCTTGACGTGATGCCATTTTTCTTGCTTTGTCTGAACGTTTATAACCAATTTCTTGTTCACCTTTTTTTAAACGTTCAAATGTTGCTTGACAATACTCATCGAGTGGTTCTCCAAAGGCATGATTTCCACCAAGATTCGTTTGTACAGCTGGTGGTACAATTTCATAAACTTGAATATTTTTTATTTCGTTCGATAATTGATATCGAAGACTCATTGTAAATGAATGTATTGCAGCTTTTGTTGCTGAATAAATTGGTATTGATGCTAATGGTGTAAATGCTAAACCAGAAGAAACATTAATAATAGCTGTTGTTGTTGTTGTTGTTGTTGTTTTCATTTGCTGAAAATGTGTTACAAATAATTGAGATAAATGTATTGGTGCACATATATTTATTTGAATCTCTCTTTCTCGTTCTTCCCATGGAATACTTTTTGTAGAATTTTCATTTGGAAAAAGTGGTTGTTGCTGTTGAATACCTGCATTATTAATAAGAATATTTGTTTGAGGATATTCACTTGTAATCCAATCATATAAAGCTAATCGGTCATCTATTCTTTCAACATCATTTATTCGATAAATAACTTTTTTCTTTCCAATATTATTTAATTCTTCAACAGCTTCTTTTAATTGCTGTTCACGACGACCAGTTATGATAACAGAAGCATCTGCTTGAACAAAACAACGTGCAAGACCAAGGCCAATTCCGCTAGAACCACCTGTTATAAGAACAGTAGAACATGATATATCAAATGGAGTAGAATAACATTCGTCAACCATTTTATTCAATATTTAGACAAAGAAAAAAACAGGATGGCCTGGTAAAGTGCGTATTGTCATACTTACTCTTCTAGAATTTACATATGTTTTTCTTTTTCTTTCTTTCCTATGAATATTCGTTATCGCATTTGTTGTCATTTTTTTTCTTCGTCAATATTTTTCATCAAGAATATAAAATAAGAAAAAAACAATCTTAACAAATACTTTTATTGATAAAAGGTGTTAAATTATCAATTCAGATAATAATAATGATTTCTTTTAAAAATTTTATGATGATTATACTTTTGCATTACAATTAATTTACAATAGAAATTGTTCAATGAAATATATTTCAAATAGAATACTTGTAACAGTGAACTAATAAATTCGACATGCGTCGTTTATCATTTATCTAAACAAAAATTAGATAATTCCAGTATTAATTAATCATGCAAAAAATGAATTACATATTTTTTAATCCTGCATATATATTCAAATTATCATCGGTGAATCATTATTCAGTCCTACGTTTATGTTGGTTTTACTCGAAAATATACAAGACAAAAGAGTATTTTGTGGGCTGCTGAATTTTGTTTTCTTTCCCACGTATATTATATTTATAGACCACAATCGTCATAGCATGCTTGATTGATTCTCACTATATTTATACGCAAAATAAGCTTATTATTCTTATTTGTATTATATAAACGACGCCTAAACAGTATAAGAAAAAATTCGTAATCTAATTTTCATAAAATTATGAGTACACCGTCGCCTTCAACTGACTCTCAACGTCATCATCACCATCATCATCACCATCATCATCATCCTCATCATCCACCTTCTTCTGATAATCCACCAAATTTACTTAATCTTGAAAATGATCAAGAACGAACAAATTATATAATTGATACGTTTGTAAAAAATTTTGGTGAAGGTATGCGTGAAAATCCAAAAGGTTGGCGAGGTCGTTTTCGTAAAATGGCTTCAGATGAATTTGCATTCTATCGTGGTTCAGCTGTACTTTTTTATCGTGATCTTCATCGTATTCTTGCAGAAGATCCATGGTTAAAAAATTGTAAAAAAGCTTCAACTATATTTATTCACGTAAGTAATAAAAATTTTCTTATTGAAAAATAAATCTTTTCTTTTCTTTTTATTAGGGTGATCTTCATGCTGAGAATTTCGGTACATATATTGATCGTTTTGGTCTTATTAATTTTGATGTCAATGATTTTGATGAAGTAATTCATTTGAAAAGAAAAATATGAATTTTCTTTTTTTTCTCTTTAGGGTTATATTGGTCCATTTACATGGGATATCAAACGTTTAGTTGCTAGTTTAAATTTAGTAACATTTTCCAAAGCATATTGTGATAAAAAAATTGAAAAAATTATTACATGTGTTGTTCGTTCTTATCTAACACAAATATATGAATATTGTAAATCACCTGAACAACATAATATCCCAATATCAAGTGAAAATACTCAAGGACCAATAAATAAATTAATAAAAGAATCACGTTTGGGTTCAAAAGAAGCTCATTTAGATACTATGACAACAGTAGAAAATTATGAAAGAAGATTCATACGTTCAACCATTGTTAAAGATGTTTCTGATGATGTACGTCATCAATTATTACTTGCTTTTCAAGAATATGTACGAACAATACCCGAAGGTAAAAAAGAAGCATCATGGACATATCGAGTAAATAAATAAAATAATAAGAATTTTTTGAATTGAAACTTTCTTTTTTCTATTTAGGTAAAAGATATTGTATCACGTTCATCACCTGGTATTGGATCAGCAGGTGCAATATCTTACAATATATTAATACAAGGAAGAACACAAGCATTAGAAACTGATGTTGTTATATTTATGAAGCCAGCAACAAAATCAGCTGTTGCTACTGTTATCAAAACTCCTGAACTTGAACAGTATTTCAAACATGATGGTCTACGAACTGTATTATGTGCATATGCTATGCATGCTGTAACAACAAAATGGTTAGGATATACAACATTAAATAATCAAATACCATTATTTGTTGATGAAGTTGCAACACATAGTCAAGATCTTGATTGGAAAGATATCAATGATTTTGAAGAGATCTGTCAAACAGCTGAAATTTTAGGCAAAGCAATGGGTTTGTCTTCTAAACTATTTAGTTTTTTTCCCTGAAGTAAACAATTTTTGATTCTTTTTTCTAATAGCTAAAATTCATTGTATAGCCGATATTGATTCGATTGATAAAGAGCAACATGGAGAACAACATGCACATTTAATTCCATTCAATCTTATACCGAGACATTCAGAAATAACTATTCGAGATGCTATCGGTGGAAATGATGAAGCTTTTGTTAAGGATATGGTTACATTTGCTATGGTAGATTGCTTTTAGTAAAAAAATTAACTAAAATAATTTCGTTCTAGACGTATGGTAATGCGGTTCGTCGTGATCATCGATTGTTTTTCGAAGCCTTTCGTAATGAACAAATTCCAATAATAAATGAAGAACAAGCTCAATCAGAACAACATCAACCTCCTCCTGTTCCACAGAGTGGCCACTAAAGACTGTCTTTTTGTTTATAATTATAGAATAAAAATAAAAATACTAATTCCAAAAAAATGTATCATAAAAGCTTTCATATATTACATGACAAATAACTTCAGGTGTAAAATCTTATAGTAAATTATAAATTTTGATATGCAAAATACAGAGTAGTAGTAGTAGGTTTGTTTTTCTGGTTTTCATCATTGATCTAAGTAGATGTCACTAACTAAATATTTAACAACAGCTGATTATTATCGTCATGATGGTGGCATACTGGTACGTCTAATGACGAATAGATAGAATGCTTGGAATCAATGGATCGTTTATCTCTTTATTTTCTTTTTTTTTTTGGACACTTTTGTTTTTGTTTTGTATCTTTTATTATTATTTTTTTAAATAAATAGATAGAATATAAACGGTGCCATGGCGAATCAGGGCCCGTATAATTATTCATATATATTTAAATATATTATTATCGGTGACATGGGTGTTGGTAAAAGTTGTCTACTACATCAATTTACAGAGAAAAAGGTTTTTTTGAAGAAAAAATGAGTATATCAAGTCAAATAAATTCTATTTGTATTTTCTATAGTTTATGGCTGATTGTCCGCATACAATAGGTGTTGAATTCGGTACTCGTATAATTGAAGTTAATGGACAGAAAATAAAATTACAAATCTGGTAAATATGGATGATAATTTATTTTCAAAAATTTTATATTCATTTTTAGGGATACCGCTGGACAAGAACGTTTTCGTGCAGTCACACGTATGATTTGTAAATTATTCGTTTTTTTTGTAATTATTTTGGTTGTCTTTTAAGGATCATATTATCGTGGAGCAGCTGGCGCATTAATGGTTTATGATATAACTCGGCGTGCCACTTATAATCATTTGAGTGGGTGGCTTACTGATGCAAGAAGTCTAACTAATCCAAATACAGTTATTTTTCTTATCGGTAAATTTATAATATTATATATGAATGTTATTTTTTTGTTCTACTAGGTAATAAAGGTGATTTAGATGGTCAACGAGAAGTAACTTATGATGAAGCAAAAAGATTTGCTGAAGAAAATGATTTATTTTTCCTTGAAACATCAGCTAAAACAGGAGATCATGTTGAAGATGCATTTATTGAAACTGCGAGAAGTATTTATCAAAATATTCAAGATGGCTCACTTAATTTAGCTGAACCTGAATCAGGTATATCACCAGCAAAACAACTATCAGCACGTACAGGTAATGGTGCGAGTGGTACAGATGGTAGTGGACAAAGTGGTGATTCCAAATGTCAATGTTAAAAATATATATATATACTTATATTTATATGGCAGATGATAGACGAAAGCAGTATAACTTATTCTGTCTCAGATCGCGATTTACATTTTCTTTCCGTACATTGTAATTGTCGTTGCTCTTTTATTTTCTTGTACATTTTGTGTGTGTGTATGCTTAACTATCATTCTTATTTCTTCAGCTCAATTATGATCGTTTGTCGTCATTGTCATTTTAAGAGAAACAAAAAAAAAGACTTCCTATTTATAAAGAACAATAATATAGCATACACACATATAAAGTATTATTTTATTTATTCAATGATTTCAGATAATAATCAATAAATATGTTTCAACAAGTCAATATATATATATATTATGTGTAAGAGAAAAAATCACAATAAGTAGTAAATGAAATGAATATTCGGAACTTAATCGACCTTGAAAAAGATTTGCGGTAATAAATAATAGTGAATAATAATGATAAAATATATATATTTTCTGATTAAGAAAGAATTTCCTCTCTAGAGACATATTCATATTCTAGTCGATAATATCAGAGATCTATTAGGATTATTTTGATAATAACATGTTCATTTAGTATTTATTCTTGAAATTTTATCGAGACTTATGGGAATATTTCACATTATCAAAAAGAATTGATCTTTATTTCTAATACAATACTAGAAAAAACATCTTTTAAGATGTAATCAATAAACTAAATGAATTTATTCGTGTTCTTGTGGTTGAGAGTTTATTAAGTAGATATTGAATTAAATCTCATGTTTATATTATTTTTCATAAATAAGATGTAAGATGAACTGAAAATATTTGAGTTACATAAAAGATTATAGTAGACAAATAATAGGATGTAATAAGATAAATATTATATTTCTAGAAGAACAATATAAATCTTCGTTTTCTTCATTCTATAACTAAACGTCTGGATTCATTAGATTCTTACTATGTTATTATTCTGTTGTGTTAATTTGACAATTTTCCACGTTCGACTATGCATGACATATTAAGTTTTTAGTCGATAAATATGTGATGGATACAAAGGTTTCGTTGATAACTTAACAATAACTTGCTATTTCTAAGAAATCGATTTAACAGATCAAGACATGGCAAAATTGATTGATGAACTTAATAAAAAAAGGAAGTCATCAATGAGTCAAATATTCGTCTACATACAATAGTAGTTCTGTTGTTCTTAATTCAATAACAATAACATACAACATTGTCATAAGATATATTTTATTATTTATTTTCGTTGATTAATGAAGTGACAATTTATTACTAATGTAAACATTTAGATTATCTTTAATTTTTTTGGTATATGTATGAAAGATTTATTTCGACATGAAACATTTATGTAATCTAATAATAAGTGCGAAAGAAAGAAAGAAAGAAAAAGAATAATTATGAGTTTTATTTTCTTATTCATTATTTATTTGTTTTGTATTGTGAAAATCCATTGCTGTTGTTGTATGTGATATAATTGCTCCTGGTTGATTACTACTCATGATACTTGCACGAAGAACACATTTTTTCAGTTCATCAATAGCTTGTGCTTGTAGAAGAATAAAATTTTTAGCTACAACGAAATATTTCTCATTGATATAATTCTTTGTTTGTCATTAATTTACCATATACTTACCCAAATATAATGTTGAAATTTTACTTAATTTACGTACGGATGGTGAATGTGCATATGGAATCTAAACACGAAAGAAAGAAAGAAAGATTTTTATTGATTAAAATTAAATAATACATACTACAGAACGCAATTCATCAAGTGCATCATTAAGATCATGCATACGTCGACGTTCACGTGCATTAATTGATAAGCGTAATGTTCGTTGTTTTCGTTCACCCATTCCATGAACAACTGATGATGATGATGATGATGATTGCTGTTGTTGTTGCTCGTTTATATTCGAGGATGGAGTTACAATTAGTGGTAATGGAAAATTCCAAAGTGATGTAGGTGTAGAATTGCTTGCCATAATACTCTTAGACTTCTTTACTGTGATTGTATGTAATGATGAATAAGATGAGTTGTCGATGTAATTTTCATGCAATTCTCTATTGCTCACTTCGTCGTTTTTTTTCTTTCTTAGTTATTCTGTCATCACATTAGTATATATATTTATACATGTATTTATGATTTTATTCCCAAAACGATTTTCTTTCTCTATAACTATTTCTGATTTTGCTCACACTATCATTAGAGATGCTTGCTTGCGTTTAATCATCGAACAGTCATAATTGAATTTTTTCTACATATATTTAATAGAGAACTAAGCTCTTAAAATTGCAAATTGTTACAATAATTGATAGAAGAGAGGCAGAGTACTATGTAAACGATGACGACAACGATATTAATGACCTCTACTGAGAACAAATAAATGTAAATATACAAATTCAAAGGTGAATAGAAAGGTATCTATGAAAGACAATAAGATAAGATAAGAGATAAACGAACGACGAAGAAAAAGTGTTTTTCTCTATTCATTTAGTCAGTCAGTCAGTTAGACGGTCATTGTAATAAACTAAACTAAACGAGAGAAAAAAAACATGGCTGCTGCTTTACCACCTGGTATTTATATTCCAATTCCAACATTTTTTCTTGATGAACCATCAGATGAACAACCAGTTGATGTTGATACAATTACTCGACATGTAAAATATTTATGTTCAGCTGGTGTTCATGGTATTGTTTGTATGGGTTCAACAGGCGAAGCAGTTCATTTAACTGAAGATGAAAGACAACTTGTTATACGTACAACACGAAAAGCAATTGATGAATCATCATCAAAAGCTAAATTACTTGCTGGTTGTTCACATGAATCTGTTCGTGGAACATTACATTTAATTGAACAAGCTGCAAAAGCTGGAGCAGAATATGCTATGGTTTTACCACCATCATATTTTCTTGCTTGGGCAACCAATCGAGCTGATGTTATCTATTCATTTTATTCTAAAGTAGCTGATAAATCTTCAATACCAGTTGTTATTTATAATTTTCCTGGTGTTACACAACAAATGGATACAACACAAGAAACAATTGTTAAATTAGCTGCACATCCAAATATTGTTGGTATTAAATGTACAGATGGAAATGTTGGTAAAGCTGCCTATGTATGTGAACATACAGATTCAAAAAAATTTACTTTATTGAGTGGTTCAGCTGAAAATTTTGTTCCATTTTTAACTATTGGTGCTCAAGGATGTATACCAGGCTTTGGTAATATTGCACCACGTGTACTTGTTCGATTATTTGATTTATATACAAAACATTCTACTGAAGAATTAAAAGAAATTCAACGTATTCAAGGAAAAATTGTTGGTCCTGATCATGCTTTCTTTCGTTGGAATGGAATATCTGGTCTTAAATCAGCTATGCAAAAAATTTTAGGTTATGGTGGTCTTGCACGAGCACCACTTTTACCAACTAGTGAAGAACAACAAGAAAATATTGTTAAAAATGTTCAAGGTGCACTTGAAATTGAACGTGAATTAGAATCAAAATCATCAAGCAAATAATTCAATTAATCATTTTGAAAAAAAACAATACATATTTTTAGTTTTCTTATTAAACAGAATTCTTTTTTCTTTTTCTTGATTGATATTTGCACTCTAGATATATAAAAATAAATGAATAGTATATAATACGTCTCCTTACGTTCATCATTTTATTCACACTTAACTGTCTGTCGTTCTCATCCATCTGCCTTTTCATATTGTTTGATGTATATATGTCTATAAGTCTGATGTGTACAAAAGAAAAAAAAAAAAGAAAAACAAACCGAGAAAAAAATGACAACAATCTGATGAAAAAAAGACAGCGTTTTTTAACAAAGAACAAACAAGTAAGCTGAAAAGAAAGGAGAAGTTAAGATTAACAAAAAGCAGTAGATGACGTTGAAAGACAGTAATTGTGTTTTGTAGAGAAAGATGTTCTCGCGCCCATTTCATCAAATCTATGTCGGTTAGCCAACAAAATATGAAATTCGTATAAAACAAGAGAACGGTAACAATAAGGAAAAAAAAGAAATAAAGAAAAAGAAAAAAAAAAAGGTCGTTCATCATCGCAACTGTTCATATCATGGTATGTAGGAAAGGTTTTGAATGCAAAAAAAAAAGATCGCAAGTGCGAGACAGAGAAAAAAAAGAAAGAAAGATAGAGATCATACATTAGTCTTCATCAGTTAATTACTGGTATTATATTTGTTGTTGCGATTTGCTACTTCGATATTCGTTGTTATTTTCATCACCTCCACTAAATGATGGTGAGTTATTATTAAATTGACTACCACCACGTCGTTGATTATTACCACCGCCACGATATGAGGTTCGATTTCCACCACGACCACCGCCTCTTCCCTGATAATTACTATTACGATTACCACCTTGTGATGTATTATTAAAATTGCCACCAGTATTATTATTTAATGGATAATTTCGTTGACTTTTTGGTTCAATATTTAAACGAACTGTCTCGTTATACATAACAAATTCTTTTTTAACAAGATCTGTTGCAACCTCTGAGTTATCAAAAACAACAAAACCAAAATTCTATAACAAAAAAAAAGTCAATTATTTGTTTGAATTTAATAAATCAGACAAACCTTCTTATTATCATGAATTGGTGTATGAATTTTTGCATCAATAACAGTACCGAATTTTGAAAAACATTCAGTTAATGTTTCTTCAGTGAAATCCAATGGTAATGAACCAACAAATACTTGTTGTTCATTTGGTGCTGTTGCAACATTTGTACCTGAACGAGGAGCAGGGCTATGATCTTGTTGAGCATTATTATCATTCCAAAAATTACCACGATTATTTTGTTGATAATAATTACCGTTACCTCGTTGTTGCTGCTGTTGTTGTTGTTGTTGTTGTTGTTGTTGTTGCTGTGGAAATTGTCGTGGACCAGATTGAGTATTATTTGTTGGTCGATTAGCTGTTGTTGCTGGTGCTTTTAATGGTGGACGAACAGCATTTAGTTGTTGAGAATTTGATAATGGAACACCAGTTGAAGTTGAGCCAGCACGTGGAACAGATGTTGAAGTTGAATTAACATTCGATGTTGAACCAGTGGATGAATGTAATTTAGCAATACCAGCATATGATTCTAATTTAAACAAAGAATAAAATATTTTGTCTTTTAATATCTATAATACATACTTCCTTCTGGTCTTTGTCCTTCTGTTGTTGATGTTGGTTGTTGTTGTTGAGTTGGTGCAGTTTGTTTAACCTGTTGTTGATTTGATGCAATATTACTATTTGATGTTTGTTGATTTTCTTGAGGAGCTTGATGATTCAATGTTCGTGGACTAGGTTGTGAATGTGATTGAGCTGTTTCTTGTTGTTGTTGTGGTTGAAGATGTGCATGTCCACCATAGTTTGTGGATTCACCAACATTAGCATTTGAATAACCATTTCTGAAATAGAAAATAGATCATTTTGTTTTATACATATATGTATATATATATATATGTTTGAATGTTAAAAGCATACAAATTAGTCGAAGCAATATGTTGATGTTCTTGTTGGCGAACAGCCTGATTTGGAATAATCTGCTGTTGGTTACCTGCAAGTGATGAACTAGTATTACGAGGTGGTAATGGCTGTTGTTGTTGTTGTTCATCCATTGGTGGTCGAGCATTAGCTGTCACAAGCAATGGTTGTTGTGAAGTTGCTGCTATTGCTGCTGATGAATCAGCATTTGAAACCTTGTCCTAGAAAAACGATATTATTAATTTTTATTTTCATATTTTTTTGTTTATTTACTGCATTTGATATGGTGTCACCATAGATATGTGAACCTGATCGATCATCCTCATCAACTTCATCAGATCCTTCATCAAATACTTCATCTTGATAACGAAAAATATCATTTTGTACGTAGTATTTTTTTGGTTGTCGTGGAGCTAAGACAAATGTCTGCATGAAACGACGCATTGGATCACCATTATTTGATAATTCACCGGTAACCTAATAATATCAATTTTATATTTAACATTTGTGTTAAGAAAATAACTTTAATCATTCAAATTTACCTGAACGACAACTCCATCACCAATAGTTGGATGTGAATCGACCTGACGAATTTTAGCATGACAATCTCGTAAATTAAGATCATTGATACGTTGAGAAATATTGTCCGGTCCAACTGCTGGTTGTTCAACACAACCTGGTCGATCAACACCACCATGTATATATGTACTATCCGTAGAATAAAATCTATAAATTAAGAAACAAAGAAAAAGTAGATATATTTATTTGTAAAGAAATCATATTAATTAAAATTACCGATGAAGCATATGAGGTGCTTGATGTAATAGTGTATAATACTGATGGACGAATGCACGACCCACCTAATTAAATAGGAATTTATCAATATATATTTGAAACAAAATGGGAAAAAATATCTTACATCAAATGGGGTGGGACTTGTTTGCACCATATTTTTAGTTTGTTTAAGAGACAGGATGGGATGAGATCTAAAATTAAAGAGAAATAATCGAGACAGTTCAATTATCAATAATAGTAAGATTATAGATGAGTGAGAGAAAGAGCAAAAACGGACGGACGATGGGTCAATGTATAGATACAGCTGCTAACGAAATAGACAGAAGTTAGCAGTAAAATGAGAGGTTGACAATACAGAGGCCATGGTAGTACTCACAAAATACTTATGCGGTATAATTTATATTAGATGTCGCTATATACAAGTATTATTATACTTATGAATTAAATTAGCTACAACTTTTGACAATTTAATCATTAATAAAATATTGATTTGTATTCTACATAAATCAAGTATTGTATATTGAGACAGATACTTTTATAAATAAAAAAAGTATAATACTGATCAATCTACACCGTTATAAACGATATCGTTTCACATAAAATAATTCAATTTCTGAGATTGATATTATTATAATTTAAACAACTCTGACAAATATTCTAGTCATTATTAAAACTTGCAACGTATTTGTTTACTATTCACAGATAGCTATAATCATAATCAGAATTTGAGTAGGTGATCAAATCTTAATAAAATCTTAAACTTACTAATTATTGTTATTATATCAGAATAAATCTAACATATCTACAGTTAAAGAAGCGTACTAACTCTACGAAACTATGATGTACTATATATATTTACACATCAGTGCTTCAACTACTATTATCAAATCTATCACATTAACAGATGATTTACAATAGAGTACTAATACGTTGTTATATTTATTCGTTATAAAATGAGAATGAACTATTCTTGTTGTTGTTAATCACTCACATAATTCTGAATATCTATTGATTTCTCAAGAGTATAGTTTACATCCTAGTCCATTGGAAAAAGAATACCCGTTGATGAGAAATTTTCTTCCTGAAGTGGGAATCGAGTAAAATCAATATGTAAATACAACTTAAATAATATGTAATAAAGTCGATGGTGAATAAATATTTCATAAGGGGATGGGAAACGTTAAGAAGAAAACTAGTGCTAATGAACCGTATAATCTTTACTATATGTGAGAAAAATAACTGGCCTTTAGTAATTGATATATTCTTTCAAAATAAATTTCATTAATAAAAACTGTAGATTTTTCTGTTAATTATTATCATCTAGAATTGTTCATCAACGTTGAGAATAAAGAGAAATATATATTACAAAATTAAATAGGCACAAAATACATAACAATAAACATTTAAAAAAAACTGTATTATACACAATAGTTAATATTCTTTTGTTTGCACGTTCGTTGTGGTCGATTCGATACACTAGTTGGAGAAGCAGATGATTTTTTCTTGAGTGGTGGTGATAGTGGTATGTCCTCTTCTTCTGAATCTGTAAGAAAAAAAGAATATTCTTTAATTTAAAGAAATAGAAAAAAGAGATTCTTACCAGTTTCAATCATTTTTTGTTTACTTCGTTTTTTTGTCGATACTTTAGCACTGACAGAAACAATTGACTTTTCTAAATTTATTTAAATAGATTAAGAAAAACATTGACTATAATTCATTATTTACCATTCTCTTGATCATCATTCGATTCGTGTTCATCTGCAGTAGATTTATTCATTTTCTTTTTAATTATTCGTTTTGCATCACGCGCAGCAAGTCTTACATTAACTTTTTGTTGTTCATCATCTGATAACATTTGTCTTAATGGTACATAAGCTGATGTTCGTCCACCAACAGTATCAAATTGAATTTTTGATTTATTAAAATCTTGTGTTTCTCGTTTATTTGTCCATCGAAAATGGAAAAGCCATTCAGGCGGAAATTTATGACTTCCACCAGCATCAACAGCTGTTCTTATCACATAATCAATATTTTTATGTAATAATTTTAATTGTTCATCATTTAATGTATTTAATCGTTTACGTGGATGAAAATGTGATTGATAAAGTATTTCATCAGCAATCCAATTACCAATACCAGCACAAAATGTTTGATCAAGTAAAAGTGCTTTAAGTTCAATAGATGATGGTCGATACGAACCAATTAAATCTTTAAAATCACTAAATTTAGGCATTTCAAGATAAGGATCAAATCCTAATTTCGATAATGGAAGACATGTACGAGGTGAATTCGATTCAACAAGATGAAAACGTCCAAATTTACGAAGATCTGTGTAACATACATCATGACCTGTTGATGTTAAAAAACGAATACGTGTAAAACGAGGTGGCCATACTAAATCAGCATCTAATTCGTTATCTATATCAAATCATTAACAACAATTTTTTTTTTCAATATATAAATTATTACCATAAACAAAAGATTCACATTGTCCATCGATTTCATTTTTAGCTTTCATTTTAACATGTTGAAGTTCTTTTAAATACGTGACATCTGGTGCTGATTTTATTCGAAAACCTCCTGACATACCAAAATGAAATATTGGTGTTAAAGATTGTTTATCAGCCATTTCAAACCATAAATATTTTCCATGTCGTTTAATATCAAGTATTTTTCGATTAATTATTCCATCAGCAAATGCATTCGGTGTACAATTCATAAAACGTTTCGATAAACCATCAGCATCTGGATACGAAACTTTAGTAATATGTGTTCGAATTAAAAATCGAGCAAGTAATTTACGAGCATATTCCACTTCTTTGAAAGAAAGTAATGTTATATAAAAAAATCTATTTAACATCTTTTTTTCTCACCAGGAAGTTCAGGCATTTTTATCTACAAGTAGAAATAAACAGAAATCTTTATTTAATGTACAAAAATGAGACAAAGTATAATAATAATAATAAGCTGAATTACATATCTTATATATAAAAAATAATACGAAAAAAAACGTATCATAATTAGATCACAATTAAATTGCATCATTGCTAGATGGTTTTAAGAAATTTTTTGCTTTATCACTAAGTTTAGTTGAAAGCTTTCGAGTATCTGGAGTTGTTATACCAACAATAGGTGGTAATGGTAATTGTGGAAGAAATAATTTATGAAGTATAAATTCAAGGCCAAGACTTGCTACTTCTTGATTTTTTTTATAACGTTGTATAGCAAATGTTTCTAATGTTGTTTTAAAACCAAATAATTCTGATGTTGCAACAACTGTTTTTTCACATACTGTTCTTGATTCATCAGTTTTATCTGGACGATAAATACATGTTTCTTCAACAGTCTTTGAAAATAATTCATTTATTAAAGAACGTTAATTTATAAGAATACTTTACCATTAAAGTTTTTAAATTAATATTTTTTGTTATTGTTTTAAATGTTTTTTGTTTAAGATCACATATGGATTCTTCAATAATAAAGGCAATAGTTGATGAAGAACCGCGCGAAAATATACGTTCACCCCAACGTGGAATTTTGTTTGTTTTAGTTAATAAACGTTTTGAGATAAGAATTTGATCGTCAGTTATAGTTCGATAATATGCATCTTCAGATAAAACATGACCTCTAATAGTAGAAATAAAATACTAAAAACTATGCTTTGTAAACATCAAATAATAAATAGATATACGTGTATGGATTAGGAAATTTTTGCCAAAAACCAGTAACAACTTGAGACCAAGGAAATGTATACAACCATTGACCTATGTATGTTTTAACCATTTTTGTATATTTGAAAGAATATTAAGAATCGTAATAGACGAATATGTGAATGAACGAATGGTTATTGTATACTAACGAATAGTAATATATGGACGACAGATGGTGATGTTAAATAGGAAGAATAGGTAATATCTACTTGTTAATCCTCTTACCTTATGTAAACTAAAGAGAAGTAAATTTATATACTACTAGCAAGTTCATAGTATGATAATTTGATAATTGCCATTCTCTTGGGAATATATTTGAGAGGCTCTTTCATATGTGTCAATATAGAAATTACTTGATATATTAAGAATGAAACAAAACACTTTTTTTTCTTATTGAAGTGTTAACCGATTAAAGATATTTTTATAGTGAAGTAAAAATGGCACAATAATATAGGGTAATATGTATTTATAATGAAAACATCTATCATATTTATACATCGAGATATTCTTTAAAACTAAATGAGATCTTTTTTTTTTGTTTTGCTTGAACTATTTTCCAGCTATTGATGATGATGCATCCAAATATATATCAGATTTAATTATACTTTTTAATCGTACTGAACTCTTCATATTATTTCTATTGGTAAAAACCAAATCTTTTTCTAATGTTTTGGAAATTATATACATTGTTGGTGTTCGATAAATGTAACTATTGATAAGTATCGGTTCTGATCTGACACGGTTATGTCTTGGAAATAATAATCCTAAGCCACTGAAAAAAGTACAATGTATAATTATCAGTTTTTTTTATAAACTTACTAAGGTGGTGAACAACATAAACATAAACAACAAACAAGAACCAATAATATAGCAAGAGCCACAATTAGAGGTAACAATAATATCCATTCGTTTAATGGCAAAGCTTTAATAAGATTTATGATGAAAATTACATTGTTTTATATGTATTGAACTTACGCGTAGTTGTATAAATGGTAGTATTCATTTTTGAACTAGTATCTGTTGTACTTTTTCTTGCACTGAAAAGTGTTGTAGTATTATCAACAGATGATGTAAAATGATCAGATATTTCTTGAGTACTTGTAGATGATATTCTAATAAAATATATTGTAAGAATTATTTTCTTTTCTAAAAAAATACTTCGACTACTGCTAGCAAAAGCCTTATCATAAATTCCAATTATATTCATTTATGTGTTCTAATCTCACATTATACTTTCTACAAAAGTTGTACTATAAATAATATTTTGAAAATTAAAAGCAGGATACTTACTGGATGTCTGTTGATGGTAACATCATATTTAATGTAGGTGTACTGCTGGTTAAAACTAAATTGTTGTTTACTGTAGTAATACTTGTACTTTGAACGTTGACATATATGTTTTCAGTAGTCATTAGTGTTGTGTCAGTAGTGGTCATTGTGCTTTCAGTTATGATTATGGTATTATGCGCAGGTACCATTGTAATCTGATTGATACTGGACGTACTTTCCGTAGTAACTATTGTAAATGGAATGATACTAGGTGTACTTTCGGTAACAAACATCGTAGTTTGTGTAGTATCTGTTGTAATTTTATCAATATCAATCATACTTTCAGTATTAGCTGCTGTAAATGGAATAGAGTTAAATGTAGTTTCGGTAATAAGTATTGTAGTATAAGTAATAGCATAGTTATTTTGTCTATTATTTGTTGTAGTATTAATAGTAACTGCTGCGCTTGTAGTAGTCGTATTTTCAGAGACCGGCGTTATTGTACTACCAGTTGTTGTTGTTATATCAGTGGTAGTGAGTATTGTCGTCGATGTGGAATATTCTCTAATACGAAAATATCTTAGTTTGTTATTTATCTCGAAAGTATTTATGAAGTTTATCCAATCAAAGATCTAATGTATTTTAAACGTATTTGTTTTTCATACTGTTTCCTCTAGTTTTAGCGTTACGAAATAGCAATCAAAACAAATTGAGTGAGTATACTTACGTCATTTCTGATAGTTCTCCAGGATATACTGCAGTACTGTTCATATTAACTATAAAAGCAGTGCAATATTGATTTGATTGAACATTTTGGCTACATCAAAATCAAGAATGAATAATATCTTTATTATCATATACACAATCCCATATGCTTACCTATCAATTGCAACAGCACAAAGAATTTGTGAACCAACTTGACTTTCTGTCGGTGTCCAAGTCAAAGTAACGGAATACAACAGACTTGAGATTTGAGTAATATTACTTTTAATGACAATAGGAAATGATAAAGTAGCAATATCTTTAATTGTAACACTATAGAGTGTGCAATAATTTATAGCATAAAGTGTCATTGAATGTAATTGACCAACTTGTACACTTTCATATATTCCTGTTTGATTAGAAGAACCATCAAGAATAGGAGCAACAAGACATTTCGGTGAGGCATAGACATTAATAAGAAATTGAACAGGTACAGAACTTAATGGAGTAGTTGAATTTAAATCAGCGAAGTCTTCAATCTGAATTCAAAAAAAAATAATTAACTAAAATCTTCGATTGGTTTATTCATAATTTTTGCATGTCATCTCCTATATACCTGAATAGCAACAGCATACCAATCGTCAGCTTTGATACCAGTAATAAACAATGTGCAATTTGAAGATACGATAACTGTATCATTTGGAAGAGAATTTGATGGACATGCATCAGCACATTCATCAACTGTAGTCGCAAAACGACATCGTACTACATCATTATCACTATCAATAGTTGGTATGATCAATGATGTTCGAACTCCGACAGGAATATAAATAGGTGATATCATATTTGTAACAGGTGGTGTATTTAATTTCCCCGTATCGAACCGTATACTTAGATTTATAGTACATGAAACACTCCAAACTTTATCAGATATATCTCGTTTTGGAAGACTTAGTGGTCGCCAAGCTGTTCTAAAAGTATATAAAACAGATACATACACAATTAAATTAAAAATACTAGCAACATACGATCTAAAAGCAACTATAAAATAAGCTCCAAGTGTTAGATTAACTATATCAGTCCGTGCTGTAACACTGATAGCCATCGCAGAAGAATAATCTGTACAATATGTTCTTATTAATACTGGTTTATAACCACCTGCTGTTGTACAATTGGCTACACAATTAAGTGTATAATTATATTCACTAAAATCAGTCATATTGGGTGTGCTTTGTGATAATATATAAGAATTATCACAATAAATTAATGGCCATTTATATAAATATATTTGTGTAATCATGATTGATACATTTGATTCATAAGTATTTACTATTTTATATGTAATTGTTCCACCTTGAAAATGATTCGTATTTACCATAGTTATATAAGAAAGAAGGATTAGAATTTTGAATATAACTATCATAATCATTATTTTCCAATAGACGTTGCTCAATCAAAAATGAATCAATTAGCGTTATATATTTTCTTGTTCTTGATTATTAAATAGTACATTTTTTTACAGTTGAAGTAAACGACGTTTGAAATGATATCTTTCTAATACGAATGATTTTTCGAGAGTAGAAACGATAATTTTTATGAATTATAAGGTTAAAAATGACTGATTGATTGCAATGGATTTTAGTTTACTTATATAATTATATTTTCCGGTGTTTTCTTCGATCGTCTTGTGTTAGACCAAGGCTCAAGTAACTGACGACATGACACAGAATGAAAGGGTTTTTGTTGTTGATACGAACGTGATTTTGATCTTTGATTATTTTGTGTATATAATGATTTAACAGAAGTTGATATAGATGGAAATGATTGATTATCTACAAATATATAAAAATAAGATTAATATTAATAATTTCTATTTTACAAATATAAATTGCATCATTTAATGTTTGTTGTATAAAATTTTCTACATATGTAGATTTCATAGGTGTTTTTATTTGTTTATTAGATTTTGTTTTATTTGCTGAAGCTTTTTGTTTAATTAATTTATACGAACGTGGTAATGCTTGACATGAAGTTTGTAAAGATGTATTTGGTTTTAAATTATAAAATTGACTGAAATTATAATAAGCATATTCAGGTAAATTATCATAATTAAATAGATTTTTATGAACAGGATTCGTTAAAATATATTTGGGATATTGGGACATCGTCTTTAGTAATTTTAAATGTTTTTCAAAATCTTTATATGCTGTTGAACGATCATGTATTGGTTGATATTTTTTTCGATGATATCTTAATAATTAATGAAGATATTTATATGTATATAAAACAAAACAGATTTTATTTACATCATTGAATGTATGAATCGTTTATTTTCATTTTCAATTTTATCTTTGCATTGTTTTTGTCGTAAACGAAAATGAGAAATATTTAATTGTTTTCGATAATTTTCATTATGACAATCCACACCACCCTGTTGTTTACCATTATTTGTCCAAATTTCAAGTATTTTTTTACATAATTGTAAATTATGTTGATATACATGAAATAATCGTTGATTATGATCATAATATCTACGTCGAGGAATATTCTTCGCTGGAATAAAATGTTTCTTATTGGTAAAAGATAAAGATGAATGCATATTTGCAATACGTGTACGAAGAAAATGATTATAATCAATTTCATGTCGAATTAGATCACAATAAGTTTTCGGAAGTTCTCGATTAGAATGTATAGAAGGAGCATGATAAGATGTTAAATTAGGCATATCAAATATGATTTGAAAAAAAACAGAGAAATGAACAAGAAAAAGCGCTTGGAAATATAGATATTTATTAATCTATGAAATTTGTTAAATATGGCTTAATCGATATAAAGTAAAATAGATGATGAATTAAAAGACTCATCTCTTATCATATGATTTTATACTTTTAGTATTTCGATATTTGTTAATATTTAAGTCCAATGTGACTAATTTCAGCTTGCAATTTTAGTGATATTTAACAATTGCTTACAAAGCATTTCTTTATTAAAAATCATTCATTAGAATCATATATGCACTTTTTCTCATTACGGTCTGAAGGAATTTTAGTACTTTTTGTTTTTCTCTAAAAATATGCAGTTAGAATCATTAGTGCGTAATATATTTCACTGATCAAAAATATTTTGCATGTCATATTGTTTATTTATCTGCTTTGCATGAGTGAGAAACACAAAATATCATAGCTTTTCAACGTACAAATAATAAAACAGAGTCGTAAATCCAATATGCTACTCTATATACAATTTCAAGGTTTTTTATTAATTAAAATGAGTGCTATTTTTAATATATGTTTATCGGATTGCTCGTCCCGAATTGATATATTTCAGACTAGCTGAGTATATTTTAATTGGTAATAAAAATACAAAAGTTGGTTGTTTTTCATAACTACATACTATTCATCCCAATTATCATAGAAAATGATTTTCATTTATATTTACATATATATTGTATAATGCTGTATCTATGAAATACTTTAATAATAAAATTGAATACAAATAGCAAGCGAAAAGAAATTAATTTGACAACATTTTTTTCTATTTTAAAAATGGGTACAATTGCAAAAAATTTGCATTGTCAGAATAACCACGTGAATACATAGAAATGAATCGATGAATAAAAGCTGTCAACAAGAATTACATATATTTTCCTCCTTTTTTCTGCTTGGTAAGAACAACATGACAAAGCCTTTTTATTTTTGTTGCGTTCCTATCGTACTTTACCAGGCATCTTATTAAACGTCCATCAATGACATTGCACTTTGTCGCTCATATATAAATATAAGACATTTCTTGTATAGCTCATTACATTTTACAGCTTGCTTACACAACTGCTAGTTACATTCATATATCAAAAAAATGGTGATTAAAGTTTATGGTTTGGCTATGTCAACATGCACACAAAAAGTATTAACCACACTTATTGAAAAAGGACTTAAATACGAAATAGTAAATATAGATTTTGCTGCAGGTGAACATAAAGTAAGATTTAATACGAACAATGATTATTTCTTATATTATGTTTTATATTTAGTCACCAAAATATTTAGAAGAGAAACAACCATTTGGTGTTATTCCAGTCCTTGTTGATGAAGATGGATTTAAAATCTATGGTTAGTTAAAATCATT